TTCTCCAACGCTGCTTCGCGAGAAATGAACCGCCAAAAGTTCTAAACCGATGGGCTTAAACTATCTGTAGACTACACTAGACCTAGACCGGACTAACTGACCGACCGGTACCGTTTCTGTTTTGGCCTCTCGGCCTCTATCGGACCCGGCTATAGGCTATAGGACCGCCTATCAATATAGGCCACTTAGGGCCTGTCTGTCCTAGGGTAGTAGTAGGAAATTCAGTTAGTGTTAGGGCTGTATTTTCCCAAATTTGCAGATATGTCCTTCACGAATTTCCTCACAGGTAGGTCTCTCGGTTAGCCCTCAGCCAAACAAAGTTGCGAATTTAACGTACCGTTGTACTATACAGCCTCGCAGTCAATCTCGGCAGTTACAATCAGCAAGTCATTGCTGGCTTACCCCCCCGGGGAGCGAGGACCTCCGAGCTAGGGGTGCAGGCGAGGTGAACGGCAAGGAAGATTGCCCTTCTGAGCCGCTTCATACCGCAAAACAATCGACTTTGTTGTCTTGAGAAGTTCCCTTCTGTAGAACCATCTGCTCTCAGAAGGTGGCTGGAATGCGAACCTCAGAAGATACTCTCGATCGGGGCCTGTGCCCCGCTCATCCTCAATCCGTTCCACGTCATATCCCTTGCCAGGGATCGGTGGACCAAACTGAGGGGGCCGGTCTGGGAATGCATCAGCTGGAGTAAACGGCAACAACTTTGATGCATGGAAGACCAGATAGGTTCGTAGATGCAGCGGGACGTCGATGACATACGACTGGCCGAACGGGTCGGCACCCACTGTATCTAGGACCTGCCATGGACCTATGTAACGAGGCAACAGCTTGGGGGAGATATCCTCCTCCCTCGATAACTCTGAACTTGGCTACCCAGACATGATCACCAGTGCGGATGAGAGAGGGCCGCCTGTGGCGAGTAGCTTGTTCAACCATAGCCTTTTGGGCTTTGAACAAGTTCGCGCGGGCTCTTTCCACATCTAGACGATAACGTCTGGTGAACTCTGTTGTGCCTGGTGTCAGATCAGGCTTAGCCTTGTCGATGATGTCATCGAGAGGCTGTCGTGGTTCACGCCCCCAGTGTAACCGGTAGGGACTGAACCCTGTCAAGGAGTGGACAAACATGTTATACATGAGTTGTGCCCTAGCCAAGTGAAGGTCCAAGTCCTGCTGATTTGGAGAGATGACAGGACGCAGCAATTGGAATAAGACTTGGTTCATCACCTCAGCCTGACCATTGGCTTCAGGATGATGACCAAAAGTCATGTCCAATCGTGAGTGCAGATAGTCCTTACAGTAGGACTGCCACTCATCCCTGCAAAATATGGGGTCTCTATGACTGACGATAGAAGTGGGTGGTCCATGGTGAGTGACCCACCTCTCAGAAAAGGCTGCTCTCACTGGCGGGACTCTAGCTACCTCTGGCAAGGGGATGAACTCTGCATATTTGGAGAACCTGTCCACGCAGACCATAACCTGACGCATGCCACGAGGGGTGGTCTTGCCTAAATCTGTGAAGTCTATCGCCACAGATTCAGCAGGGCCATCAGGTATGGGTAGGGGTTTGAGCAGTCCCAAAGGAGGTCTACGCTGGACCTTATTCCTTTGGCAGAGCTCACAGGTGTCTACATAGCGCAACATCTCACTCCGCATCTCCTTCGAGAAGAAGCGCTGCGACAGGGCTGCATAAGACTTCAGGAACCCAAAATGTCCACGGGCGTCATGACACTCTGACATCAGCAGTGTCCTGAGCCGCTGATCCTGAGGAATGCACACGCGTTCCTCCCCTCTGCTGTGAGTATACAACAGATCTGAACTCAGAGCATAGCCTGGTTCAGAGTTAGGACTGCTTGTAGATTCCTGACGATGGGTCCGAAAGTCTCATCCTAAGGCAGTAGACGAGCAATGGTTTGACGGGTCACCTCTCCAAAGGAGTGAGTAAAGGAGATCAACGCAAAAGAGTCAGGCCTACACGAGAGGGCATCTGCTACCTTGTTGTAGCAGCCCTTCTTATGTTTCAGTTCAAAGTCAAACATGTCTATGAACTGAATGTACCGTGTCAGTTTGTCATTTAACTCTCCCTGGGACTTCATCCACTGCAGGATGGAGTGATCTGAAAAGATCTTGAAGTGCCTTCCCAGGAGAAAGTGTTTCCAGTGTTTCAGGGCACAGACAAGAGCATATAGCTCTTTCTCGTAGGTAGAGTCCTGGAGCTTTTGAGTCTTGATCTTCTTACTCATAAACTCTACAGGCCGTAGACCATTCCCATCATCTTGGTGAAGGACTGCCCCACTGCCATACTGACTGGCGTCAGTGGTCAGGATGAATGGCAAAGTGGGGTCAGGTAGCTTCAGCACAGACGCACCAGTCAAGGCCTTCTTGAGTCGTGTGAAGGCCAACTGACAGGGAAGGGACCAAAGAAAGGGAGTATCTTTCTTTGTTAGGTTGGTCAGGGGTGTAGCCACTGCAGAAAAATTCCTGACAAACTTCCTGTAGTATGAGGCTAAACCCATGAAGGACCTGACATCCCTCACTGTCTGTGGTTGAGGCTACTCCTGGATAGCAGCAATCTTGGCTGCTTCGGGAGCCAGACCATCTCCAGAGATTACATGACCCAGGTAGATAACAGATGGAACTCCAAAAGAGGACTTCTCTCTGTTGATCTTGTAGTGGCTGTCACGTAACGACTGAAGGACAAGAGCTAAGTGCTCCGCATGTTCCCTGACAGTTTTGCTGAATACCAGGATATCATCCAGGTAGACAACCATAAACTTGTCCAGGTAAGGCCTGAAAATGCGGTGAGGCCTGAAAATGCGGTGCATCTCTGTTTGGAAGGTGCCTGGGGCATTGCAAAGTCCAAATGGCATGACCAGGAACTCATAAATCCCATACCTGGTCTTGAAGGTTGTCTTGTAGACATCCTCCTCAGCCATCTCAATCTGGTGGTAGCCAGATTTGAGGTCGACTTTGTTGAACACTGTGCAGCCCTGCACCATGTCCAGGAGGTCATCGATCCGAGGGAGTGGCTCTGTACTCTTCCTAGTGATCTTGTTGAGACCCCTGTAGTCAATGCACATTCTGAACTCATCGTTCCCTTTGGGCACGAAGAGAACAGGTGTACCGAATTCAGAAGTGTTGGGTCTGATCCAGCCCTTGCTGGTGCTGGTCAGGGTCTCAAGCTGCTTTCTGAGCTCCTCAAGCTCAGCAGGGGACATGCTGTAGATGCGGCCCTTGGGAGGGACCGCTCCAGGCAGCAGCTCGATGTGATGCTTGGTTGGCCGGTTGGGTAACCCAAAGGGCTCCTGCATCAGATCAGCATACTTGTCAACAAACCTGCAGGAGGACAGGAAACAGGGGGAGCGTCAGTCTGCTTGACCAGAGCTATGAACAAACGCTCATGGTCATAGTGGCGTGAGAGAGAGTAAAACTCTCTCGCTCTCAGGCAGTAGCAAGAGGTCTTGGGGTGATGATCAGCAACAATCATGCATGGCTGATACACCCCCTGGCTATTAGGTAACTCAACCCTTGGGATCTGCCAGTCGATCCGTGGGTTGACTGCCTTCACCCACTGCATGGAGAACACCAAATCAAAGGGGAGATCAGGGAATATATAGAAGTTCAGATTGTGTCTGACTTCTCCAGCACTGTCGAAGGTCACAGGGATACCCTTGACCTTCTCCTTGATAGTGAGCACTGTAGAGTCACCAATCCTCACCAGCAGCGGTTGCTGCAGCTGCTGAACTTTCATGCCCAGGTGCAGCTTTTTAACTGCACTGGGGGACATGAAGTTCCTGGTGGCTCCACAGTCTAATAGCCCAGTGATCCTGGTGCGGTTGATTAGGGGCCGAAGTAAGATGAGATCAGACTTGCTCTTCTTCTGTTCCTTCAGATGAAGGAAGAAGACAGCAAGTGACTGAAGTTCATCTTGCCCCGGGCCCTGATCCGGGTCAGGATCCTCATAGCAGAAGGATGCTGCTCGCGCAGTCCCCAAGCAATCTAAACCTGTCTCAACTGAAACAGCTGCAGATTCACCTACCAGAGTAGATGAAGGTGCAGCACTGGGGGGAACTGCAGTCCCCAGGGTTTGTTTCAGTTTTTTGAGTGCCCTGGGCCTGGCATGTAAGGGCAGTCCTTCAAAAAGTGCTGGCCCTCACACCTCAGGCAGACCCCTCTCTCCTTTCTTCTTCTCCAGGGGAGTGTGGAGGGATTGAGAGGTTCAACTGGCATCCGGACGTCTTTAGGCAGATTAGGGCGTTGGGAAGAGAAAGGCCGACGTCCCTTCTCCTTCCCCTTGGCACTGGCTGAGGCTGTGGTGGGGGAAAACTTCTTCTGCTGCTGCAGCACTCCCAAAACAGCCTGAGTCAGGGCTGCTGCAACATCTGTATCAGCAGCAGATTCAGTCCCAGCTGAAAGTGCATCAGCCTGGGAATCTGAATCTGAACCTGATGCAGATCCCGCATGAGTGAAGGTTGCCTTTCCCTTCCTGCCACCTCTAGGGAAGGCACCTTTCCTCCAGTCAGAGGATGGGGCCTGGACATGAAGCTTTGCCTCCATGTCCAGGGCTGCGCAGCCAAAGGACCTCCAGTCCTTGTGCCCAGCGTTGTACAAGGCAACAACAAACTTCTCAGGCGCTGCCCTGCAGAAGTTGGTCAACATATCATCCGTGGACATGACCAACCCAGGGGTGGAGGTAAGCTGCTCAAATTCTGCAAACAAGGCTTGCAGGGTGCCGTTGTATCGCTGCTGTCCCAGGCGAGCAATCCTGTCAGCAGCCTTGCGGGCCCGCTCCTTGTCTGAAAAACGGTCCTCCAGGGCCTGCAAAAGTTTGTCCACCCCAAGCCCAAAAGCCCAGTCTTCCATGGACTGCTCCAGACTGCTGGAGGTGGAAGTGGCCCACTTTAATGCAGGTCCCTCCAGCAGTCCAAGAACAGCCGCCACCTTGGTCTGTTCTGCACAGACAAAGCCCCTCAAGTTGGCTTTGGTCCCAACAACCCAGTCCCCAACATCGGTCTTGGGGTCATCGCCCCTGAACTTGTTGGGAGCAGGGATCTTGGGACCTCTGTGATCTCCAGCAGTAACAGCAGCATAGGTGGCTTTGCTTGAGGCTTTTTGGGAATGGGATGGTGTCCGGGAAGAATGCACAGATCCAGGGGGAGATGAAGGAGGGGTAGAAGGAGGAGAAGGTTTGGGTTTGATCAGAGGGAGCTGAGGGGCAATCAGCTTGGCGGCTGACAGCTGAGCAGTCAAGTTCTGAATGGCATCCAGAATCTTGGACTGCTGAGCTGCCAAGTCGTCAACCCGACGCTCCAAACGATCGAAGCGATCATCCTAGTTCGTGAAGTGAGAACTGGTGATCTTGTGCTCCAGAATGATCGTCTCTGCCAGGTGTTTAGTCACATGTGCACAACGGTCATCTGAAAGCACCTTGTCTAGCTGTTGCAACAGATATTCCCTTCTGGAAATACTTGTTGCAGCCTCTAGCTCAGCTGCCTCCTGACGTTCCAATTCTGCAAGACGGTCCTGTTGCCCCCGCAACCGCTCTTGTAACTCGTCTTCCTGCTCAGTAGCAGTCAGAGGTGGAGGAGGAGGAGGAGTGGAGGTTGAAGGTTGTTGGCCTTCCACCTTCATCACCACTTCCACCTGTGGCTGCTTCTGAACCCCCTGCTCAGACATTTTTCCTTTTTACACAAAACCAAAAAAAAATAAACAGCAACCTGAGTATGCAGCGAGATTCAGATTCCTTCAGACATCCTGGAATCGTTGCAAAACTCAGACATTGGAACAGGTGGGTGAATGGGCAATTAGCGGTTAGGGTTGGAAAGGTGTATCTGGGGTCAGGTGTCAGACAGACTGTAAGTCCAACAAAATCATACACGATTTCCTTTTACTGACCCTGCACCACACTGGAGTTAGTAGAGTCACTCCACTACTCTTCCAGAGACACACTAGATTTCCAGAGCCCACTAGAAAACAAGGGTAATCAGTGGGAATGATAGAACATGGTTAGTACAGACAAGAGAGGTCAACCAAATCAAGCGATTCAGACAGACACCCTATATTCTGACTCAGACTCCAATTTATACCCTGATGACTCTGGAGGCCATACCCTAGGGTATGGCGGAGTACAGTATTCACTGTATCCAGTGAAATACCGTAAATCCAACTTTGCGATTTTGCAGTATTGTCTATTTTTGGATTGCGATTCACTGCGGACTGACAGAATGGAATTCTGACGGACAGAATTGAAGTTATAACTAACCCTAGTTCGCACAGGCTATAAAAAGACTCGGCCCAAAACTGTAATTCCGAGTATCACTGGCAGAATTCACAAGTTGAGTATCCCGGAATAATCGCAATGCAGTAAAGCAGTCACAAAACAATTTTGGATCAGAAAGAGTCGACAGAAAATGAGAAATGAGCAGAGAGAGGTAGGGGAGAGATGGCTACGACTGTCATGCAGTCTGCGATTTTCACATCCAGTCACTGGCAGACAGATACACCATTATAATTCACTAATCTAATCCTATCTGGATCGCTATGCAGGTAGGTGCATGGAACGGACTCACTTTCAGAGAATCTTGCAGGTGATGATGAAGATCTGGCTATGGCAGATGATAACCCTTATCTCGCCAATTTCTTCCAGATATTCCTCCTGATAATCCCACGCACAGAACTGCTTCAAATTTGTTGATCCTCCTCAGGATCCTGTAGCGCTGCACTCCCTTAGTCCAGATACCCTGTATCTGGTCCTGTGGCGCCCAGTATGCCAACAACAAAATATCTCGCCACAGTGCCTGGTAGCCGCTGATGCTAAAATTAGCCCCAGATGGGGTTATTCCTCCTAGAGATTGATATACTGTGTCAATCTCTACCAGCGCTACCCAGAGCTGATGCCGCTCAGGGTCCCTTGATGTCCACAGGGGTAATTCGCCACGCTGGGTAATTCGCAATATTACCCTCAGGGTTGGCTATGGTGAATTAGCCCTGTACTCGCCACTTATTGACAAGCGCCCTGACAGGCGCAGTGCGCTTGCTCAGTGCAACCACTGAACACTTGAATCCACCGTTGAAAGTCTTCTTCCCTGCTGACTCAGTACTGGGGAAGATGAATCGTCATGAAACTCTCGCCAATATGTTGCCAGATGAAGAAGATGCCTCAGTGCGCTCAACCCTTAGTGTTCCAAGTCCAATCCCGCTCCGATACCAACTGTTATGAACTTGGTTGTCTGACGAATTTTATCGCCACTCACACACAGACAATCTCATACATGCCCATACATGCATAAGAGAAGGGGAGAG